CTCCAAATAGACTAGATTAAATTTATTAGAAAAAATGTTGTAGGGACTTGGATTTAACCTGCACCATTCTTGTGCAATAGTAGGTCACAAAATCACATTATCACACAAGCGGTTATGATTTAAGCATACATGTAAATATAGATAGTTTTTTTAATTTTGCGCTAAAACTAGCTGAGTCACTTCTTTACTTAAAGAATGATTCAAACACGAGCTACTTAACGAGTCAAACACGTTCATGAATAACGAGCTTTTTTAAACAGCCCTGCCGAGGAGGAAGGATGTGTATGTTGATGTTGACAAAGAAATATATGATGGAACTATAAATATTAATAAAGGCTGTTCTTTAGCGAGTAAAGAGTTCCCAACTATTGTATGAATCTTTTAAGTGATTATGGAGATGTCTGATAAAAGGATTTTCAGCGTTAGATGCTTTATCTTATAGTTTTCTGTGAGATCTGTATTGAAATAAGTGACAATTTAAAATAATGGAGAAATTTTAAGATGATAAAAGCGCTTAGAAGTAGTGGAGCTCACATTGTGTATATTAGATGTTAGTGATTGTCAACCAATATTATTTCAAGATAAAATGATGTCCAATGGATGGTGATACATTTACATACCTCGGATCCGTTATATATATAATACTAAAAGTGTAACGTGATATGAGAATTTAGAGAGATTTGATGGCAGCTTTTGTAGAGATTTAAATTACAATGATCGTGTTTTACTGAATGTAAGTGTAGCTAAAATGTGATTAAATGCCAACTTATGCTCAAAGAAAATGAGGCTCCATATGAATTCTAGGACAAGTAAGAAGGATAAGTTTAGAAATGTTTAGAGGAACAATGAGAGTAATTCTTTTTGAGTATTTATAAGGATGGTTAGAAGACACACCTATGAAATCATGTTCATAGAATTAAGGGGCATTTACTTACACACCACACAATTCTTGTTTACTATATATATATTTACATATTTAACACCTAAACTTTCATATTTACTTGTCACTCGGCATTACATGAAAAATATCACTATTACTATTTTTAAAAAAA